GTGTGTGTGCGTGTGTTTTTAATGAGTCTGTTTAAAATATGTATTTTATAGTCTTATATGAACGGTTTTATTATGTGGCAGTGTGCATTAAAACAGATTCAAAAAATATTTCGTCCATGCGATTTTCTTATCTTGTTTTTCAGTTTTGTATTTACTTTGATGCCATTTACATATGTCTGCATTTACATAAAACCCACAACAATCATTATAATTGTCAAAACTTCGTTTGTACTTTTACTATACCAACAAGGGTGTTTGAATCAAAAGGGAAGAGTGAGTTTTAAATTCATATTTTCAAAGTCACAATTTACTTCCTTTTTGGTATATATACATGTGTGTATATAATATATACGTTCACACATTCACGGAAAGTGGAGACGAAAGCAGACGACAGAACATGGTTAGAGGGCAGGAAAAAAATGTGAAAGGAGAACATTTTGGAGAAGTTTGCTTTGCTGCCAGGTTTCGAATTCGTAACACCATAACCTCAGTACCACGAGAGCACCCTGGCCCCTTCTACATCCCAATACACAATGAATTTTCAAACCATTTCCAACCTGCCCCTTAACCAGCAAGCCTTACGGCCTAAAAAAAAAAAGGCCTAACTTACGGCTCGTTCACACCAAACATCCGCCTGTGTGAGGAATTGTATGTGAGACCATAGATGTACACTATAGTACTAGATACAGTACGCCCCTCTCCCGCCTTGCTACGCGATGGCCACATTTGACAGCGGCGTCCGCCATGATATTTGTGGCAAGTTGTGTGAAGGAGTTCATGCTAAAGCAATGGGCTAGGCATGTTTTCTCTCTCTCTCATCTCTCTCATACGCGTCAGGCGAGACTTGGTTCTTGTTTGTTTGTTTTTTTTTGTACATGGGCGCCGTGGCGTACGGTATCTAAATGACTAAATTGCAATAATTCGGCGTTCTTTCTACAACTAGATCTACAAATAAATGTATTATTAAATAGATAGAGATAGAGATATGGGCTTTAAAAAAAGA